AAAAAAAAAAATCTCCTCCCACAATGTCCCAAACAAAGGCCCAAATAAAGTCCGCTCCATGGGGTCCTTTGGCTCCCGCCGAGTATCTACTTACCCCCACAATTCAACAAAACCAAAATAACACTAAAGAGGGGTTGAATATTTCCTTTCTTTTAAATTCCCGAAACAGACCTACATTACTGAGACCTATGTAAGAGACAGTATTTTCAGGATAGCAAAGGCCAGTCCTTGTCATACCCTTTATCAAACACTACAGCCAACTGGGTGAAGCTAAATAAAAAGAATAAAGTAGCTGCTACAACAAAAATGCTATACAAATTCCTGGCGATTGGAAAGCTGGAGAAATGAAAATTCCCTGGTCCGTCTGTGTTTGTGTTAACCCGGAGTCCTGATGGGAATCAGCAAGAGTAGGAATGCAGGAGTGTGTTCTGCTAGAGGGGGGGGCCACCAAGTGTACACACAACGGCTCAGCCCCTGCCATGATGTGTGGGAGCAGTGATCAGAGCCAAGACTGTAGGTTTCCCGCAATAACTGTAATGAACTCCCCAAGCTGGACCCACATTCCTTCTGAAAAGTCAAAAAGAAATAGTTGTCAGAGTTCAGGCCAGTGGGGGAGTAGATGAGTGTGGGGAAGAAATGGGTAAGGGTGGAGAGAAAAGAGGGCTTAGTTTTAGACAAATGGAAAACAAGCCTAAAGCTATCTGACAGAAAGACAGATTAACGAGTAGAGAAGCTGTTTTTGACTGAACCCCGGCTTGAGGTCATGTTCATGTCTCTGTAACAAGCAACTGTTTCCATTGCAATTCGCCTTCAAATTATGTGTTAAGAGATCCAAGCTGGTCATTTTATTACAGTCTGCAGAAAGCATACTGTGTTTTTTTTTCTCTCTCTCTACACGCCCTACATTTTAGAAAGACAAATTATCCAATTAAAAATCTTTTTGCAGAGCGGAACGTCTTACCAATAAATGAAAACAGAAGCACATAAGTCAGGTTTTGAAGAGAAGCTCATAAACACAATGACAACATGAATGTCATGTACATTTTGTGATTCTAATGATGGTGGAATAATGATAAATATAAAACCCGAGCTATCATTTACATTTGTATTTATCACAGATTTGTATAGGGTCAAAACTATACATATAGGTTAAACTGTATATATAAATAAATACATATTTATCAGTTCTGGAACAAAAAGCTGAAGCTATATAAATTAGTTCTGTGATGGTTGTGATTTCAACCTTCTTGAAAATGGTGAATTATGGTTAAAAATTGAGGATACAGCAGGAAAAACAGAAGCTGAATTCGGCCAACAGTCTAAAAAAATGTAATATTGTGTTAAAGTGTAATATATTTTTCACTCATTTCAGAAAGTGAAACTGTTATTTTATAAAAAATTATTAAAAACAAAGTATTCCATGCTTTTATTTCTTTAAATTTTAAAGATGATGGGTTAATAGTATAGAAAGCCAAAAATTCAGTGTCTCGAATGTAGCATTAAACCATTAAAAAGGACGTTTTCAGCACAAATGTCAGACTTTGGAAACGTGTATTCAATGTGGACTTGATTACATAATTGATAACATAATACTCCAAATCATCTCCTGCTGTGGAATCTTCCCACTTGTCTTTAAGCAAAGATTTGCATCTCCAGTCTTCCTCCAGACTGTAGGAGCTTGATCCCAAATAAAATGCAAATTTCTCTGACCTTTTTTTTGCCATTCCAAACTGCCTTGACATGAGTTATGTAATTTTTTTAACCCCATGTCTCGTACTCCAGCTTCAGTCCAATATTTATGAAGTGTCACCAAAATCCTGAGTAGATATCTCTCAACAACCCACTCAAGGCTGAGGTTATCTGTGTTGCTGGTGCACTTTATCCTACCAGAGTTATTTCTTCCACTTGACTTTCTGTTAATATGCTTGAATGCAGAACTATGTTAATAATCTAATAATCAGATGCTTCAGGAATGACCTTTTGTGGCTTACCCACCCTGTACAAGCTATTGCTAACTGTCTTCTGGACATCTGTCAAGTTAGCAGTCTTCCCCATGATTGTGTTGCCTACTTATCCAGGACAAGAGTCAGTTTAAAGCCTCGGAAAAAAATTGCAACTGAGTAGACAGTGACATCAAGAGTTTCCCAAAAAGTTCTTCTCTTTTTTTCTAATTATTCTAAGCCTTTCTGAGATACTGTGTTTAATGAATCTTATTATCTGAAAGCCAGAAATGACAGGCATAAGTTTTGAATATTTTACTCTATGCCAAAAGTTTAAAACTAGGCTTAAAACTTCCCTTTTTATAAAGCTTTTAGTTAGACTCCCTCAGATTATTCTGAGCCACCTCTAAAGTTAAGCTGCTATAGGCTTAGACTGCTGGAGGACATAGGGACCACTTTTCACCATTTTGCTTCATTCTATCGCTATTCTACCATTCTTAAGGATTTGTCAGTTCAACCTCTAACTTTATGCTCTCTTCTGCTTTTTCTCATCACACAGTAGTAGCTTCATCTGGTCTGTTCCTGTGTGGATGTGACACTATCCTGGAGAGAAACATCAGTTGGGCTGCTACAATCAACACCTTTGTTTAAAGAGGTTGGAGCTTGGCCTGTTTTTTAATTAATGTAGTCCATTTCTCTCGCTGTCACTAACTGTATGTGCTTTCTTCATCCTCTGACATGGAACTGGCTTAGGGCTTCTCTGCTTTGTTGTGCCACTCCTGGATGTGGCCACCTGTTGAGCTAGGTGACAGTTATCTTTTTGTATCTCTGCCTCTTTCTGTCTCCTTGACCCCCAATCGACCGTTGTAGCTAGTCAAACTGAGCCCAGTTCTGTCCACTGTCGCTACATGCATGCTTGGTGTGAGGGATTGCTTTCGAGTCAATGAGCCAATGCAATCAGCTGGTTTTCCTTAGATAGAAAACTTTAAAGTTTGACTGTATGATCTGGTTGAAATCTCTCTGTAAAGTTACTTGAGATGACATATGTTGTGAATTGGAACTATATAAATAAATGAATTAAAAGATGTTTTTTTTAGATGACTGGCAGCCATATACTTAAGGTGAGACGCCAGTGTGGGAATGGATAGGATTGGGGTGAATCATTTTTTTTTTAAACAAGTTCTTATCCCAACTCGTTCCGCTTCTTTTTGAATTCATGGCACATGTCATTTTTTGTTTCAGGGCGACACCTTGTGGTGAAGATTTAACAATACATCTAATTGAGCATTGACTTTCTTCTTCACACAAATCTTCTGCTGTTTCCAGGTTTCATCCTATTAAAGAATGCCCTCGTAGTTCACGCTGTTTTTACGCTGTTGAGCTGCTCGATTCACTCGTTATAAAAATGTTGGTTTAATCTTCTGTACTCCAACGACAGTAGCGTTACTATGCAGCCATCCCATACATTACCTCCTCATTGAAACCTGTACATCTAGTATTTATATATTTATACGACAATCGAATGAATCAAATAAACCAGGCAAGAAAAGCCGGAAGTCAGCCTCTCTGCTGCTACGTAACGTCAATTTCAAAATAAGAGCCCATCATTACAGTCATGTTTGAGATACTTCCTGCAGCTTACTGATGTTTTTTTACGACTGCTAAGAACTGATAACTTATGTTTTATGATTTTTTAATCTTATCTACTATCCACCTGAGCAAACGTCTAACGACAGCCTATGCAAACTACTATTGCTTAACATGTTAACACTTAAACTGCCATGCTCTCAGATTATGTCAGCAATCAGTATGATGCATTTGGCCAGATACTCTTGATGCCCTAAACTGAAGCAGTTTTTAATTATCTTTATACTAAATTGTCCAAAGAGTAATATAAATGTGCAAAAGCTATGTGAGATAAGGAAAACGTGGGTTTGTCTTAGCACAGTGTTCAACAACCATAACTACAACTATCTGTGTTTCTCAGATCATGTAGCACTGATATTTACAATTTTAATGATATTTTTATGCCATTTGAATAATAATGTTTTTGGGTTTTCCCCAACAATCTGTAAACACTTTTAACAGCGACATCCATAGATGACTTTAGACTTTTCGCCTATGTCATATCATCCTTTCTATGCTGTGCATATAAAGCTGCTGAGGTGGGGGGAAATCTGTGTTAAAACTCTTTTCATTAAGCATTATAAAGATTCTAATTAATTTTGTTAAAAAATGTTTAATCAAACCATAAAAATATATATATATATCTAATCAAAACCTTAGCCTTGATAGTTCAGAGAACTGTTAGACATGAAAAACAGGAGAAAGATGAGTTATTGAACACTTGTTGCATCTGCTTGGACATACCATCGAAAATAGATTATAGGAATCACTATGGTAGCTAGTTTTACCATGTTGACCCTTAGAGGAAAGACATATTAAGGCTGAATATGGTATAGTGGAGAATTACCTTTCTCCGGATGGATCATCAAAATAAGTGGTCCTCCTAATTGTCAATCATTCTGATATGTTTACTTAAGGCCATCCTACTTGCTTATCCCCATTTTTACTTACCAGTGGTGAGTCTGACATAGTGGAAAAAAAGCAAATCTTCTTTTGGGAAGTAAGCTTGTATGAGCGATGCAAACAGCAACTTTTAATAAGAGCGTGCACAAGGAGGAATGGGCTTGCGCATGCTCTCACACATGTTTAATAGGCGTTCCCTCTCAGAAGCATGTAAGCAAACGTTTTTAAAAGTAGAGAGTGCAGGTATTTTCAAGAAAATCCTCCACTATACCTTTAAGCAATTCATTTGGGGCAAGTGTCTGTTGCTGTCAGATTAAAATACTGAGGGGAATCCATATGTACAAAACTGGTTAAATCTAGTGTTTTTTGCTGCACTTTAAATATACAAAATTATATGGCATATAAATCACACTGATTGTCTTTGGTTAAATTTAATGCAGAATCAATGTTGAGGTTTGTATTGTAACAATAACTCTGATTTAGACCTTTCGTCTTTATTTTTATTTTGTTTTTCATTTGGTAGACCTATGTGATGATAGATGTTTTGCTTGTTAACAGAACATTATGATCCTTCATATCTTTTGTAAAATGATAGGTGACTTTGAGGGGAGTTGGTGCTTTTTAACCATTTGTGTGTCTGGATGGTCCTCAGTCTTTTGTTTGTCTGTTGTGTGATGGTAACACACTATACACAAGGACTCTGGACGGACGCAAAAACGGGTAGTCTATGGCTCCAGGTCTCCATGTATTTGTTTTGGCACACTTAACACATAATAGGGATCAATTAGAGAAAAGGTCCATCTTTGTATTGGTAGTAAATTTATGCTAATTCACACAGGTCCCAGAATGGCAGTCCAAATGACATTATCTCCTTGCTTCACACCCACAAAGCACATGAATCACACACAAAAGTACAATTTGTCATAGATACTGTTTTTTCCAATATACATATATTTCATGATGTTCATCAATATAATAAGACATTGATAGATTTACACTACAATTATTTCATGTACTTTTCCCACTCAGTCTCCTCTCCTTTTGTGTTAATCGACCTTGTTTAGACTGTAATCCCGAACCAAAAGACGGCACGATACAACTATCAATAAATAAAAGCTTAAAGAACAAAGGAAAAAAAAAAATCACAATAAGCACATTGCCCATGATCCTCCAGGCCTGTCCCTCCTGTAAAGGCCAGTCGCCAGGGGCAATGTGTGCTTTCATCTCTGTGATCCTGCTTTCAAAGGAGAAAAACAAATAAAGAAACCATCTCTTACAGATGAGTTGATTTAAACCAAAAATAATATATCTTGTCGAAACAAACAGCAATCTGATGTGAACTGTAGAATCCTTCACACAAAAAATATTTCTTCTTACATCAGCTTCCCATTTTCTTTAGCTTGACCCATCAGTGCTGACAACAAACAATTCAGTGACATCTGGAGTTATTACCTAACAAATGATAAAGTTAAAAAAAAGGAATATTTGGTTCCAAAAGAAAAAAAAAATCCACCCAGAAAACTTTCAGTGACTCAAAAGGTTCCCTCCTGTTGCCGCGTTCAGCTCTTTCTCTGGTCAGCGTGCATGCATTCTGGACAAACGACCTGAACGTGGCCTTGAGGTCACTGAAGGGTTCCTGGCACAGACGCGAGATCGCATTTTCTCCCACTACGCCATCCCGACAAAACAAGAGAATTACAGCGAAACAAAAAGTTCTGCGCTGTTAAAAAAAAAAAACAAAAAAAACATTTGCATGTGTTGGTTTTCACACAGACAATAAAGCAAATAAATAAAAAGAAAACAAACAGGAAACATAGAGAAATAGAGAGAGCACTCACTCATTTTCACCATTGTGACCAAACTGGTTGAGCACTCACAGGACAACAGTTGGATTTATGGAAACACACAAGTCCTACCCCAATCAGTAGTGTTATTTCACCTCAGAGCCCGCTGTGTGGTTACGTCCTGTACAAATGGCTAAAAGGACAACATTTTTAACCCTTTAATCACTTAATATTGCCAAAGGAATCCAATTTTTACAGCTTTGTTAAGTGTATATTTTGTCCCCATATTTATTTTGGTAAATTGCAACAACTTAAACCTGAGGATATATTACCCCCTCCCCCCCAAAACCCCCAATGTTACACCACTAAACAATGCAGGTTGTTTTTCTCAGTTTTCTGATATCTATAAGTAGTTTACATATTTTAAAACCCAGCAACACTACGCAGACAAAAAAGGGAGAAGACTTGTGCTATAATAAGTTACAAGGTTGTGTGTCTACTAACTTTGTACAGATTGAAAGAAGCTCCAGGGACGTGGATCCACATGGCAGGGGGAGTTTCTTTTCAACGTTTTTAACTTGCATATTTCAGGATCGCCCATTCAAGAGTCAAACTTGACCCTATAAATTGTCTACAAAGTCTAATAAGATAGAAGCTATTTGAATCTGACCAGGATAGCTCGGGCAACCTGTTTCCTTCCGCTTGTTTGTGATGAGTATAGGCAGCGTTAGCACGGAAATTTGGTCTTTGGTAGTTTTACGTTTGCTCCTCTCTGAGGAGCAACAGGATGTGGGGTTTTCTATTACGGTTAACAGATCTACAGCCTTGTTGTGTGTGTACTTCAGAGGTGAAGAAAAACTGACATGCCCTCACTCTGTGAGTTAAGCGGCCTAAATCCGTTGGGATAAACGAGTGGGGGGGGGTCCCGAGGTGGAGCTATTCTAACACAAACATGCACACACTCACACTCACACAAATACAAAGAAGGAGTTAAGAAAGGTGGGCAGATTCACCACGTAGCTGGCAGAAGGGTAAAAGAGACAGGGTAACATTAAAAACTACATTTTAATAGATTAATTTAAGAGCTTTCATTGTACTGCAGCCAAATAGAAATTTTAGGCATTAATATTCTTCTCTTTTTGGGAAAAATTTTCACATTAATAATCAATGGTTTTGGTAGCTTTAGGAAATTTCTCATACATCCCCCCAACAGCACATGGCAAACTCTTTAGTTTGACACAGCTTTGGAAGGTTGTAAAAAAAATTAGGTCCTGTAAATTTGCCCTCTCTTTTACTCATCAAATATCAGCTATCATGCATACAAAAACGTGCCACCATAACAATGACAGTAATGATTAAAAAAGTGGTTTGAAGATACTCTAACACCAAACCAGTGAGTGCACAAATGAAAGAAATAACCGCAATAAGGAAAAGAAGTCTTTTTCCTTTAATGCTTGGCAGTGTGTAACGCAGAGCTGAACTACAAAAACACAGCAGACAGAAGTAAAGAGGAGCTTTGCTGTTAGAACTTTGTGTCCTCTTTACTTCTTCTGTTCCACACAAAAATATACTATGATAAAAAATAGAATCTATTATATCTAAAAAAAAAATGAAAAAAAAAGGCCTTAACTAGAAGAAGAGACACTAAGACAGAACCACAGCGCTAGCAAAACACTAGTCCTAGGAATGCTACGATTCTTTTTGTTTTGAGTTACTTCTTTCGAAGATTGTTTCTTCGATATTAATGTCCCACTTTTTTTTATTTTCCAAATGTGCTCTTAACGTGGAGAAGTTCTGCTGCACCGGGGTTCCCTTTGGCCAGGCTGAACAGCCAGACGGCACCGTCGAAAACAAGGATGCTTGTGCAAATTCTAAAGAGTTTGCCGCCGTCAGCCAATTCTCCTACGAGTGCAAAGGGTGCCCTGCACTGAAAGTTCACTGAAAGTGACTGGGAACCAAGGCTTTTCAGTGTTCAGATGGCAGACCAGCGTTGGCTTTATGGAATCAGTTCAAGCAACAGAACCATTCTATCCCCGTAATGATTGATCCATTTCCAATCCAAAATTACCCATTACGTACCAATGCATCCGAACGCATTTTTGTATAAGTGTAAAGTTAATGTTATATCCAGACTATGCAACAAATATATCCTTACACCTAAGCAGCATACTGACTTTCCCCTATTGTTTGCATGACTGTTACTGACGCACGCTTCATCGCTTGTATTTTTAAGGTACTCGCACTTCCATGTGCCACAGTAAGAGCATCTGCACTAGACTGCAATGAAGGAATGTTTTCGAAATAAGACACTACGTAATTGTTAAATAAATAAAAAAAATAAATAAAGAAGAATCACCTACAGACATCGGTCCGTCCGTACTATGGCAGTTTAAAGTTGTTCAAGGGAAGCATGCTGAGAAAACAAGATGGCGCCAAAAGACACTTTGGATGGTCATATTTAAGAATCCATCTCAGATAAAAGGAGCTAAGTTTCATGAGGTTGGAAGAATAAAGATTATTCGCACAAATCATGCATGACTTCCTGACCGTAATGAGTGTGGCAAAACGCCAGAAGAGAAAAAAAATCTAGACCGTTTTTTGTAGGAATTAACTATGAAGGCTAATTGTACGTCAAAAAAGCGAGAAGAAGAATCGGGGGGGAGTAAGGGGCAATGAGAACATGCAAGACGCACACTTTCATTAATAGGCAGTAGTCAACGTTAAAGCATACGTCAAATAAATACAAAAAAAATTAAAAAGTACAAAAAGCACACCCAAACACACACACGCGCGCCTACAAAACAGTATATCAGATATATATCAGAATAAAACTCTACAAAGAAATATCACCTTTGTAACAGGTATCGCCAATTTTTGTTAAGGTTTCCGTTGTTGCATCGTCAAAGGGGGTTTAGTTCCCAGTATGTTAAGGTTGAAAGAGCCAGAAGTAACAAGAGAAGAAAGGGCCACACACTCACAGGACGAATATGGACTGGGATCCAGAGGCAAGGCTGTGGAACTATGGGTGGGAATGGGGCCTTGAAGGGTTGAGGGGTGTTATATCGAGGCTAGCTGGGGGGAGATATACGTACATACAATAAATCAATTAATCTGTGGTTAATTTTGTCATCAATTAGAGGGTTTTTTCTTCTGTAGTAGGGAAGCTTGGGTCAGACTGGGGTAGGAGCGACTCTTCTTAGGTGCTGAAGTACACTGTAGACAGACAGAATGGAAAAAAGTTTTACAAATTTTAAAAAACAAGGATTATTTTTTACAAGTGTACACAAGACCAAAAAGGGTTTCTTACCAATAATGACAATGAGGACAATCACACATATCACACCCAGGATAATCATCATCTGCAGTCAGCAAATTTCCAGGGAAAGAAATATAAGTTAGAAAAAAAGTCCCTCAGACATTAATATTGCTTTCTAACAGAATGAGCTTGTGTTCTCACCTTGGCATTCTTCCACCAGTATTTATTCTTCAGTTTTGCAGCGCTAGTCTCAAACTGAGAGGCTCCAGCCTGCAGGGCATCAGCCCTGTCGTCCAGCTCTGACAGCTTCTGATCACGCTCCAGAACCTTGTCCACGTTTACACGCATAATATCCACCACCTGAGGAAAGACACGTGGTAAAGCAGGATGACTCGATGTTAAGGATTGACACAAGTCTGAAAATGAGTCTAATAGATTATGATAAAGAGTCAAAATGGTGTCAGACTGATCTGAATTTTCCATTTTCAGTGCTTTTTTTTTCTGCCTTTGTTTTACAAATATTTGAGATAGTAACATATGCTTTACTTACCTCATCCACCTGTGCCTGTGTCTGCTGCAGACGGCGGTTGCTGGTGAGATTGGGAGGGGGCTGATTCCCTCCCTCTGGTGCAGGGGCTCCAGCTGGGGCAGACCTGAGAGTTTCAAAAACATACTATTGATAAATTACACATGTTGAAGTACAGGTTTATTAAACAGTTATTGCCTGGCAATAAAGGAGGCCAGAACAAAGCGAGACAGTGGTACTTTGGGATCTATTGATATTAAAGTGAAAAATAAAGAAAGCAACAGATAAGAGAAAAAACAAATAGTTAAAAAAGGACATTATATGTAAAATAAGATTTATACTTTAAAAGCCTTCATCATAACAGCTTGTAACAGTTTATATGTTTTGGTTTGGATGTTGCGATTCCATTTAATGTCAGCAGTTTAAAAACTTTATTTAGCAATTTTTGCCTCTGAAAAAGGGTGCTGGGCAGATCATTTTAGCTCCCTTCACTATTCTCTGCAGGGCCATGTTTCTTAGAGCTGGTGTAACCATCCTAATATGCACTATATAATACATTAAAATAAATGTAGATCTGAAAATATATAAACGTAAAACTGAGCCATTCAAGTTCAAACAGGGGCCACTGAGAGCAAAAATGAAAAGTATGCATTTTGTTGCTTGTCTTGAGCTAATTAAGATGGTTCAGAGAGTTGAACTGTACTTTAATGCAAACAGCAAAATGAGTTTAACTGTAGAAAAATCATTAATGGTGGAATTTTAGTTAATTAAACTGAAAGCTGGTGGCAGGTTTGTATATAACAGAAGAATCAGCGTGGATTTTCATTTAGCCTTCCTTTGGACGCTCTGTCCACGGATGATGGCAGCAGTGACTGGCAGAAAGTTAAAGTGAGAGTGTCATTATATCAAGAAAAAGTGAGTGTGAAGGAAAATTCCTCCCATGTTAACATGTATCATGTTCTGGTGCAAAAATATCAAGGATAGAGATATTTTTCAAGGTTTTGAAAATATAAACCAACATAGGTGGTGATGCACAGCGATCTGCCTGTTTTTTTCTTGATTGGCTTTGAAGGGAGATTTAAACAGTCAAAAATATGGAAAATATTTCTTTCCGGTTGAATGAACATATAAACTGAAACAAATTTTTTAGTTGAAAGGAACAGACACCACCTTCTTCCAGATCTTTTGTTTTGATGTCTGTGAAAATGCAAAACTACTCTCCTAATCAGAGAGCTTGTAGCATGTTTTTCTTTTGTAGAAAAGGAAAACAGTTTATGTCGTCCTCCTTTGACCTTAAACAAGCCAAAATCAATATACTCCTATTTATTTTTTACAGCATAATCAATTCTCAAATTACACCTATGTGTACTATTGATGTCTATTAAAACTTCCGATTTTTTAACAGTTCAAACTGCTCTCTTCCAAACTTAATTATTTAAAATCAAGGAGTTTAAATAAAAATGTACCTTTCTTCTTTTTGCCAAATAACAGCTGAGTTTGATTTAAAATAGAAAATGAAAATAGTAGCTTTTTTTTGCTAATTCAAGCATCATTTTGTCCCCTTTTCAGTCAAAAAAGAGCTTAACTTTTAAGATCTGAAGACCAGCATGTTCTGAATAAACAAAGCTCAGCCATTGATATAATTGTGAATAATTGTCTTTAATATTTGTAAGTTCTTTTTTTTTTTTAGCACAGATATAAAACGTTGCTGCCAGATAAAGATCAAATACATGAATTAAGCAATATTCTAATTTCCCAGTTTTAACATCATTGACCCCAACATTTTAAATGGGTTTATTATACACCCATGGCTGAAGTATTAAACTCAGAGTTATCTTAGCTGAATTTACAAGAATGTACATGTTGGATGCATAACTCTGTATAAAGGTCACCTCTCTATGCTCACACTACACTAATCCCCTAACAACAAATCCTTTAGCATAGCTGGCCTGTTGGTGCTTGAGGTCAATGTCATCCCAAGCAGTCAGACACTCAACGCATCATTTTAATGTTTATTTCTAGAAAATTAACTGTCCCATAACACAGGACTAACATTTTCACAAATCAACAAGTACATTTGAGCCAAGTTGGCTCATTTATTTTTTGGAAAGTTATGTTTAAACTTTGCTGCAGTTGTTATGTGAGTTATTTTATTTTATTTATTTAGTTGCACCTGCTAGCAATGAGTACCTTGACAAAGGAGCAATGTGTGCAGAGGTGTCATCACTTGCCAACTAACACCAGAAAGACTTGCCAATGTAGCGCCTGCATCCTGTGTCGTCAGCTTCGGCATCCTGTGAAAACTGCCAGCTGTGTTTCCATCCAGCCTGGTGGATCTACTGTGCCTGCTCTGTTCTACACTAGTGCAAAAAATATCTGTGCCTTTGTAGAATTAAACCAGAGCCTCTAAAAGATCTTTAACCAATCTCGTGCCTCTAAAAGCTATAAGATTTCTGAACTATTTACTTTTACTGGTTCCCAGGTCAGATTGAAAACTAAAGGGGACTTCAATGGGCACAGTTTCAAGGCTCTGGTAAAGACCCCTATTTTGAATTAAATCTGCCCAGGATTATGAAAATACAATAAAATAAACCATATTTTGAAGGTTTAGCTTTGGTTGAATAGTGTGTGATTTTGTTTGATGTTTTCTTTCGCGGATTTTTAAAAATAATTTCCTAGCTTTATTATGATCTAGTAGCTCATTTGTAATGATAGGAATGTTTTATACATATACTACTACAGCCTAATCTTTAAATCTCTGCCACATTGGATTTTGCTTAAATATAACCAAAGAATATGATACAAGATTTTATATAATTATAATTCAAAGTGAATCCAAACAATTATTAAAAACCTAGTGACACATATTTAAAATAATGCAAGAAAATCCATTTAAATCAAATATGAATAGATCAATAATGAAATCAGATAAATATATCGTTGGACCTTTAACAAACTTAAAAATGTGAGTTCAGTCTGTTATAATTCTCATGTACAACATTTGATTGGATTGATGTTGGTTTTGGATGTGTTTCATAAATGAATAATTAAATCAATGGTGTGACTGGAAATGCATGCCGTTTCATTTTCAGCACCCTGGACAGTGACATTTCAGCACTGGACAGCGCCTCAGCACCTCTTTCCGTTTGATGCTACATGATCTTCGCTCTTATTTTAAGACTTATCTTATAAAACAGCCACTAAGTTCAACGATGACATACCAGTCCTGTTAAATCTTATCCCACCGAGGGCGTGGAGGGATTCATTTTCATGAAACCCACCGAGGGAAAAACTTATCAAGTGTGAGGCCACGGGTGGATGATATGTTGACACGAGACAATCTAAATGTCATGCGAAGCCTGAAAAACAGAGCTATCATAGCTATATTTTATTTAGCACACCCTTTATATATGAATGCTCATCACAATGATACAGTATATATATAAAATACACGAATTAATTTGTTAAATTTGTGTTAAATTACCAAAATAACACAACTACGATGAATTGTGAGCAGATATGTAGCTGTCCGCCCTCGCATGACGATCGACGACATACAGCAGAAGGCTAGGCTATCCCCACCCCCCCTCTGTGGGCTGCAAATATCACGGAAACTAGGCCTAAACTGAATTCAAAGCTAACATTTCGTTCCAAAAGAAAAAATGATCGAGCGATGGATATTTGTTAGTTTCTGTCGACGCTTTGCTGCCTTCACGGTTGAAACAGTGAGGGTTTGTTGAGCTTTGTGTCCTTGCTGCTTCTAGAATTAGCTTCCTTCGTCACCTGCTGTTTAGGAAGACCAACATGAGGGGGTATGTTCATTAGGACATGTTGGACACTATGTTTTCCTGCTGATTTTTTTATTGGCAAGGGATCATTTCATACACAGGTGTCTTTTTATTCAAAATGTAGAAAAAACGACATAAATATGCATGTGTATTAGAAAGCATCGGACAAATAAAAACAAGGAGATAAAAAAAACTAAGCTCATTTAAAAAAAAAAGAAAAAAGGAACATTATAGGGCCAATAACGTCACTAAATAAGAGATGAAGCCGATCTGCTCAAGGTTAGGCCGATACCATAGCTTTTCCTTAAACGTTATCAGACTCTTAAATTTAAATTCCTGCGATTTATTTGACTATTAAGAACGTGAGAGACGGAAAATACTGCGCGATACAGCGGAGAGGGGGGGTGGGAGCGCGCGAGGAGACGCTGTAAATCCCTAAAATAGCCGCTCAGGTTCAGTCGTGAGCGCTGAATCGCATCAAGTGGGGATTTTATTTTAAAATGAGCTTTATAACGGGGTTGTACTTACATGTTCCTGGCGGTATTAGCTCGACAGCTGCAACTGAAATCCGGAGTGAAGATGTGAGCGCGCTCTAAGTGGCTGGCAGATGGATGTGGATTGCCTTCTGCGCTCCTCTCTGTCCTCTGGCAGCCTTTGGTTGGTTATTGTGGCGTTTTTTCCCTGCCTCTGTCCTATGAGCAGCGCTGAATGTCTCTCCACGTTACAGAAAAAAAATAAAAGAGCAAAAAAAAGACTTTTCTCTCTGTGTTTTCTTCCTGGCGATGCGGCACCTGTAGGCTGTGGAACCCGGTCTGTGCGGTAATGAAGGTGTAATAAACAGCCGCTTGGATTAGGGGCACAAAGATGGCTGGATGACGTCAGCAGCGGCGAGTTTCATGTTGAAATGGGAGGCTCGCGCTTCAAATACGGCGTTTTTATCCCCCCCTCAGAGATAAACTTTTATGCTCAGATATCGTAACTGCACACCCTTCAAATAGTATACATGTTATGTTTATAATAGGAGTTAAAGCTCATTTAAAGGAGCTAATGTTGACTTCAAACGTGTATGTCAACAAAATGGCGTTCTCGGAGAGGGGGTGTGGCGAAGCTCACTGTAGGGAAAAAAAAACTACCTGACAGTAAATTATCTAACATGTTTCTGACAAAGAACCCTCCCAATTGTTTTTTAAATATTTAATAGCTTCCATTATTTTATTTTTTTTTTAAGAGGTACAGAGATTTTGGAGTCTGAATTAGATTTTTTTTTTCTTGAACCAACTGTTCTCAATGGGATTCAACATGCTTACTCTAAGACTTGACATACTGGACAATTATTAATTTGGACTCTGGAGCCCATGATTTTTACGTGTTTAGTTATTTTGCTAGTGTAAACTTTCCAGATTTACTGAAAAAATCTAGAAGCTTTTCATGAAATATCCAGTTATTTGAAATAGGCAGGATTTCCTTGCATCTTAAATGTTTATTCGCCTTTTATATGACTAATTATGCTATGATTTTAAACTTATTTCATAATATATGGTTTGTCACTTATAACTCTGAAGCACTTTAGAATGTTTTGATATTGACTGTTATAGTAAAGTGACCATGATTCAAAACAGATGGTCTTTTCTGGTTTTGTCACTAATGCTTATATTGTTTTGGAATTACAGGTCGCATTAAACACTGAAACAAACTTTATGACAATCTGAAGAACAAAAAAAAGGTTTTGTTTTTTGCTAACAGTGCCTGTGGTTTTAAAGTCAACCACCTGATGGCGCCAGATGACAACTGTATGTCCCTGAGTGTCACCCAAAAAGAAAGTCTTTCCTCTAGAAACAGTCTCTGTCACAATGCTATGGTCTATTGACACCAAACTTTAACCCAAATGATACACACAGTTATAGTTCATGTAATTATGCAGCAAAGTAAAACCTGGAAGATAAATAAATTGGTGAATTTTAGTAAATTAAACTGAAATTGATACCACAGCTGCATAAATACATACGGTAATACATTATTTGTCTGTGGTTCTCAACTCCAAGTTAACTTTTCCTGTTCCAGTGACGACAGGTCTGAGGAATGTGAGCACACCAAGAAAGGCTGCAAGTAACAACTATTCTTCAGAATCAATTAATTGTTAATTGTTTTTTTTTTATTATTATTATGTTATTTCCATGAGGTTATTTACCAATTTCAAACTAGGTTAACCTAGACTATGCCAGTATGGGATGTATTTAAAAAGAAGAGTTTTCATCTTGAATGAAACCTATATATATATTAGAAATCCTAACATTTGACTTTATTATTGCTATCTTTTTTCCAGCAAATGACCTATTTTAGAGGTGCATATCTCAGTTATTCATTATTAGAGAACTGATTTTGAGTATTCTACTTGAAAACACTCAAAGGGAGCACAGGTGGTCTTATTGTGCTGTGGGAACTTTCAAATGAAAGTGAAAAAAATAAAAATAAACATGGTTGATGAGCATCAAGCCTAGCCATTGCTTTGATTTCAATTACATTGTCTTTCTAGTCAGTCACCCGGAATTATTTCCTTTGCGCTGTGGATGTGAAAAAAACTGCAGTATGGTAAAAGAAGGTTAATTGTTTTAAATCTTATTTAAAACACAAACCATAATCATGCTTTTAAAGCAGGTTGTGTCTTTTTCAATTCATCATAACACTTTTAAGTCAAAATTTAACCATTGCTTAATTATATAACAAACTCAACTTTTTGTTACATCGTTTTTAAAAAAAATATGATGCCCTATGAAATTTGGTACAGAGTGACTGACGTTTAATTTAAAGCAACTAAAATACGGCACTGTAAAAAAATGAAAGCTGCCCAACATAGCGACCAAGATAAATCCATCTCTCGAAGAAAGTGCAGACAGCAGATATGAGTGTAGAAAGGTAATAAGCAAACAGATTCTGCCATGACATATGTGCTGTTTAGTCTTAGGCTAAAAAAAAAAAGTGGTTTTAGAATAATAACTATACTGCGTTCTATAATTGAGATCATTCAATATGTAAACAAAAAGTCTGTTATAATAATAAGAAAGGCATCAAATGAAAGTGCCGATTATATCTGAAAGCCACGGAGTGATCATTCCAAACATTGGTCAGAGGAAACATGGTGCTGTGAAAAGTTGATAAAGGAGGGGAAATCATGTCAACATGTGAAAAACAGTGTAAAAATGATAAGTGGCTCAGCTAAGATCGTCTTCAATGCTTAGAAAATCAAAGAAAGAAAAACGAGACAGACATTTAGAAAATTACCATCAGTATGGATCAACGATTAGCCAAAATGAGTCGACCATGATTAGCTCATTAGTGATGAATGAAGGTGTTCAGTTACCAGTGGGTATGGTCATAATTAGAAGAGATCAGGTAGTTTGAAGAGATTATAACGAAGCATTTGCTGGCCAAAAAGAGAAAAAAATGCCACATTTATTTAGATTGTTGCAAGTAGTGCTGTTGGGTCCAAACAGTTTGTCAATCAACCCCCAAATCCTCACATTATACAGAGGAGCATGGTGGCACAGGTGGCACTCGATGGGAATGTTTTTCACTCAATAGAATCAAACCCATTTACCTCACACCATGGCTGATAAATGGGTTTGAACATGTCAAAATAGAAGAGGTCTCACTAGGTTAGGAAATGCCTTTTCAAACCATAAGAAGTCGATGGACCCCAAGATGCCAATTTGTGGGCTGGATCTTGCTTCAAAATCAAAAGAACTAAGAGTGGTCAGTCCAATCTCCAAACATTGATCATGAAGAAAACCTGTTCCGTCTTTAAAGTATTCACTCAGTTTGTGATGCAAAACCAACACATGCAGAGGACCAATGGAATGAAGCCCAATCGCACTGAGCTGGAATAGCTGTTCTCTGGGGCCAAGAGTTTGTTGAATCCATGCATTAGGGAAGTAAGGTGGTTCCTGCTTTCTTGCTTATATAGTAAATGTTTGAGTTTATGAAAAGGCAGAAACTGCTATATTTAAAACCCAACATGTAATATACTTTTTGTAGAATAAAAACAAAACAATTCATGTTTTACACTAAAACAACATATGAAGATTTACCAATTTCAAGCAGTCTATGGGGAAGAAGTCGAGGTATACCCTGAAAAGGTGGCCGTACTATCACAGGGCAACACAGACACACACTTAAGGCCAATTTAGAGATGGTTAACCTACAGAAACAGTCATGCTTTTGGACTGTGGGAGCACAGTGGAGTACCTGCAGAGAACCCCCTCTCACAGGGAGAACATGCAGAAACGCCGAAGGCTAGGAATCAAACCCAGGACTGCACCAACATGCAGCCTTTATGGAAATCAATCAATTCATTGATTTATTGATGGCTTTGCACACCAAAGGTGACAAAAATGCTGTACAGGTCCGTGGAAGAAATAAAACATAAAACAGCAATAAAACTAATAGAATAAAGGCAGGGTAAAACAGAAAGAATGGAACATAACTGATGAAACCAGCCTGAGACTTCTGCTCAACTGAAGTCAGAAGCCAAGTTATTAGTCTTTAAAATACTTTGAAAATCATTGAACGTGTAGACCATCCTCACAGAGCGGCGATCATTCCTACAACTGGGAGCAGTAAAGATAAAGCTCTGCCTCCATGGTAATAGGGAAGATGAACAGCAGAACGTTTTGTGACCTCCGTGTTCTACAGAGGGAACATGCTACATATCACAAACAAAACATCTAATTGCTTCAAACACATAAAAACAATAGTAAAAAAATAAAAAATAAAAAATACACAGAGTTCAGTGAGGACACTAAGGGAATCGTGCACTCCTCTTTTACCAGCAAAAGGATTTTGGACCAGCTGAACAGGCTTGTCCATCCAAGTATCTGGGGTTGTCCAATACAGAAGTAACAACAGAGTAGAACAAACCCAAATGGTAATATTAGATAGGATGTGATTTCAGAGATGGAAGAAGCTAAATTTGACGACTGCAGTAACCTATATGTAAAACTGTTTTCAAAAATACAGCAGTACACGTACTGTACTCTGTGAACATGTAAAATGTCCGAAAAAATTATCACCGCAGTTTTATTTCCATTTAATTAATATTCAGCTCCATCAGAGACACAGGTTAGTAAATAATCAGAAAAATAAAATAAAAATTATATAAAAAAAAAAAAAAAGGAAATAAGGGAAGAATATAAGAGTTTGTAAATTTAAAGGAGCCTTAGAGGAAAAACTGATCTCTATTCACTGGATTGCTGATAGACCGAATAAACTGAAGTCTCCTGCCACCATCTTGGTACTCCCTCCTTTCACTGAGTCATGCCATAAAAATACCTTTAATGTAATTACCATAACAATGTAATAAATACACGTATATCACATAATCAATTTAGCACTTTTGGCACATCATCAGATAATGTGTGCTTGTAATCTGACTAAAGTATTTTTATGCTCCATGAACACACTAATTTTGTTCTGATGGATTTGTATAATATGTTATAATACGTGATTTACAGACTTCATACTGAATATGCAATGTGATGTGTCTATTTTTCTTACCATAAATTACAGTAATCTACCGATGCTATGAAACAGCAAGTGTGTGTCAAAATGATGAATTTATCTTTATAAGTCTTAACCCCCCCTGGAAATGAGAACATCATCGTTGTTTGATGCTGTGGCACACGTATTGTTTACATTGTGACCGGTCTAACTAGGGAGTACCAATATGGCGGCTGGTAACTTTACAGCACTGTGTACTACCAACAGCCTATCAGCAATCCAGTGAATAAATAAAGATCAATGGGAGTTAAAACTGTCGCCAGAGATAGAAATTCATCAGTGATCTTATAAATACTCCTGTAGATGTGCATAAAAAAAAAAAAGTTAGTGTAAGGACCTGAGCTTTAACCACTGTTTACAACATACTGCTATTATTCCTAAAAGAGTTATCTGAAAGGTTTTGGCAATATGCATCTTTTTAAATCAGTTGAGTTACCTGAATGCATTTACAGTAAGTTTTAGGGAGAAAAAGA